AAATATACATCTGACAAAGGATTAATATCCAGAATATACAACGGAAACAACTTTACAACAAAAAAACAAGTAATGCAATTTAAAAATGGGCAAAGGAGCTAAATAGGCATTTTTCAAAGGAAGATATATGAATGGCCAATAGACACATGAAAAAATACTCAACATCACTCAGCATTTGGGAAATGCAAATCAAAACCACACTGAGATACCATCTCACCCCAGTTAGGATGGCTAATATCCATAAGACTATGAATGATAAATGCTGGCGAGGTTGAGGAGAAAAAGGAACTCTCATACACTGTTGGTGGGACTGCAAAATGGTGCAGCCTCTATGGAAAATGGTATGGAGGTTCCTCAAACAATTGCAGATAGATCTACCATATGACCCAGCTATCCCTCTGCTGGGAAAATACCCAGAGGAATGGAAATCATCAAGACAAGTGTATACCTGTTCTCCAATGTTCACTGCAACACTATTTACAATAGCTAAGAGTTGGAACCAGCCCAAATGCCCATCATCAGATGAGTGGATACGGAAAATGTGGTACATCTACACAATGGAATACTACTCTGCTATAAAAAAGAAAGAAATACTGCCATTTGCAACAACATGGGTGGACCTAGAGAGAATTATATAAAGTGAAACGAGGCAGGCACAGAAAGAGAAATACCACATGTTCTCGCTTATTTCTGGGAGCTAAAAATAAATAAATAAATAAACAAATAACCTGGGGGGGATGCAGAGGGAAGAAGACACAACAATTAAAATTCCTTGAAGTTGTTATGACAAGTGAACAGATATGAGATTGCTGGGAGGGAGGGGGGAGAGGGAGGAGGGAGGGAGGTTTTGGTAATGGGCCACAATAATCAACCTCATTGTATAATGATAAAATTAAATTAAATTTAAAAAAAACAACAAGAAAACATAATCAATGAGAACTATAAAAGCAAAAAAAAAAAAAAAAAAAATGGTGCTGGTACAACTGTATATCCACATCCACCATACACAAAAATTAACTCGAAATGGATCACAGACCTAAATGTAAGAGCAAAAACTATAAAGCTCTTAGCAGAAAACAGGAATAAATCTTCATGACCTTAGCTTAGGCAGTGAGTAGTTAGAAACAACACCAAAAGCACAAGTGACAAAAGAAAAAATAGATAAAATTTGACATCAAAATTAAAAGCTTTTAAGCTGCAAATGACACCATTAAGAAAGTGAAAAGACAACCCAGAGAATGGGAGAAAATATTTGCAAATCATATATCTGATAAGGGTCTAGTATCCAGAATATATATAAAGAATTATTGGGCCGGCCCAGTGGCGCACTGGATAGTGCGCCGCTTGGGAAGCGCGGCGGCACTCCCACCCGAGGGTTCGGATCCCACATACAGACTGGTTCCCGCTCACTGGCTGAGCGAGGCGCAGGAGCAACACCGAGGGTTGCAATCACGTTGCCGGTCCCCGGTCCGGTACGGGGGCAACACTGAGGGTTGCGATCCGTTGCCGGACACGGAAAAAGACAAAAGACAAAAAAAAATAAAAAGAATTATTAAAGCTCAGTGATAAAAAGACAACCCAATTTATTTATTTATTTATTTATTTA